TTTCCACAATTGTATGAATTTGTAATAATTAACGCTTCATGCGAATATAAAAATATGTTTAACGTTTGAGATACGCAGTTGCAGTTGCAGCTGTAGCTGATTTTTCGTGACGATTCGCGACTATTCGCATTGCCGAACGATTGTTTAAACAATGCAGGTGTTCACACTGCACTCTTTTCATGCCCAAATATGGATTTATTTATACGTACGCACCTGCAGCTGTGATGATTCATCGAGACGCAGGTGTGTGCAAAGTTTTATCGTCAAATTTCTATGAAGCTCGCAAATATAGAATTTTAATAATCCGTAAATACAAGAAATTATTTATAATTACTAAACTATTTTCTTAAAGTTTACTATTTTTACTATGCAGAAATCGCATTTTTCATATTAAACTTAAACTTAGCTTCCCTTTAAGTATTCACATTGTTGTTTCGTTTCGTGTTCATATGAATTTGAAGCAAGGATTTTACAATTCAATTTGATTTGTTTAATTTTGTCAGTTTTTTTTGAACTAATTTATTTGTGAGTCAAAAGTCTAAAAAGACATAAAGTAATGAAATTTACAAATTTTTAATATTATAATAAGTTTATAAGCTATTATATGTCTATATAATATATGGAAAGCTGATTAGTTTGGATACATGTGAGCTAATTATACATTGGCCAGCAATCAATAATCACAGTTTGATCTTGCTATAAACCGTTTATAACGAGCAATTAAATTCGATAAGGATACGTTTTATAATACTATATGATATTACATAAACACTATTTATTAGAATAATGCCTTGTGTGATAGATTTTAATTACTGCAATCGTTTGTAATCAATTTAATTCTGCATGAAAGAATAGCAAGTGTAATTGAACGAAGCATCGGTGCGTGTCGCTCGCTATATGTATGTGCAGGCAGTTGCACTATAGAGTCCGTCCGTCCGTCCGTACCTCCATACATCGTTCAAATTTTCACTCAGAAATTGGAAATTGGAATAGCCGCAATAACAGAAATGTTCACTACATTTTTGTTTGTTTGTTTGTTTGTTTGTTTCTCTTCATCTCCCTCGCTCTCTCTCACATACACTCACAACCACACACACGTAATCGCAAACCAAAAATAAAACTGACTGAAAAATACAAAACAAAAGCAGAAAGTAAAATAAAACACACTCGAATGTAGTCAAACTTGAGCGGCCTTCGATGAGCAAAGTGCCATGGTTGGATGAACGTGGGTCAGCCGCCAATTGTATTTTGTCACTCATGTATGAGCAATCCGAACACATTCATATATACACATATTGAGAAGAGTATTCGATTGGTGATGGTGCACGTTTCTATATATCCAGGTGTGTGTGTATACATTCTACATTCGAATTGCGAATGGAATTTTGAACGTTTGCTGCGTTTGTTGTGTCCAATGCAGCAGCAGTAGCCGCAGCCGCACCGACTGTCGGAATCGGCGAACTTTGCTGCTCCATCGCTGATTAATTCGATTTGTTATTCCGTGTTTTGTAGCTAAACTAAAAACAACCGAATTATGAATTTAATGTACGAGGCGCGCAGCGTATAACCGAACTGATAAAATAACGAAGTTACTCGATAATTGAATTAATAGTGAACTAAACGTTGAGGCTTCACTCAATTAATGGGAAACTACACGGCTCTTATTAATAAGCAAGCACATGTTTGCATTAGCTTTTAGAAGCATCTCACTCCTCCACCCCTTAGTGCAGATAAAAAAAAAGACACCCTCAACGTTTCCTATGGAAATTTTGAGCGAATATGCTTTTACATTGAGACGCTTTTATACAAGAAAAACAATGACAATTCTTCTTTGTTGTTGTATTTTTGAAGTTGTAAAGTGAACAATAACATATGAAGAAAATTTAGATTTCACTGATGATTTATATATTTGGAATTTTATATTATTTGTAAAACAGACATAGTTTGGGTAATCGTTTTCGTCAATATCCCGGACAGTTTGAAACCGCACTAATCGAGAATATATGTACTATTGTTTAGAATTCAATATAGAATTTGTACAAGTGAGATATATTTTGTGCAAATAACGTACATAGAAATTGATTATTACACTACATTATTTGATGTCGAAAATGTATAGTATCACTTTGGCAAATCAATTTGCGTTACAATTAGTAAAACTGCGTACCGAGATTGAATTTTCCTATAATTAACCCTGCGTTCATTTTCCAAATTTGCTTTCAGTCCTTTACCCTTTAGAAAGAGGGTATCTGTAGCACATGCTGTTAGCAACCAAGTATTATTATTGGAAACATCAGTAATCTTATCATCATCACAAATACTCCCCACTTTATCATTACGTGCAGTGCATGATGCTCACTCTCTCTCTCCATTCAATTTACAATTGAATTTCGCTTTGTCACAAAGCAAAACTTGTTATTGTGCAAAGTGAACGTTGTCATTTCATTAATGTCTTGTTTAGGTATTATGGCTTATTGATTTTCTCCGAATTAGTAGGCCTTAACTAGATTTCTATCTACAAGCAAATAATATCATAATTCTCTTATATTTCTATAAATTGTATAATTGTAATAAATTTTAATGTAATAAAATTAGGATTTGCGGATTCTCTCAAACAGTTAAACGATTACGATTACGAAAGTGTAGGTGGATAAGTAACAAGAGTAATGTTATAATTAGGAGGAGAGGTAAGACGTATTATCCACGTAGATCATTTTCCCGCGTGGCCCATTTTATAATTCTATACTTCATCGGATTGCAGCCGGAATTCCAACCGGAATTACGTATTCAAATTGCGTCGCGGCGCGTCAACAATGCGAAATCAGCGATGATAATTGCTTTTTCCTTTTACTGCCCCAATTATCCAAATATGACGACTCTTTTGGAACCGATTTATAACTGCACGCATTCACATTTATGTTATTAATTTTTCCATTTCAATATGTGAAAAATCACTCTCAAAATAAAAAAAAAACAGACTGCAAAACCGGACTAGGCGAGTACTTTAAACCGTATAATAATCAATTGTACAATTATAAACTCTATACAACAGTTTGTATTGAAATTTTCAAACCGGACTATAGTGAATCCGGACTGATCGAAGCCGCTGTACAACATTCCCAATTTTTTTTATTATATATTTCATAGTTATTTGTAGAATTATAAATTAATATCTAAAAGTTACAATTATTGCAGTATTAGATTTTCTATTTCATCAATAATACAATAGTAATATTTAGTGTGTTTTTTTTTGGAAATTATAATTTATTAATTCACTCGAGAACATTGATGAATTATCATTATTTTATTCACTTCCTTTTGTTTAAAAAAAAATAAATATAAATGCTTTCAGACAAAAGGAATTACGGTGGATTAAAAAGAGTGCTGATGGATTATGTGTCGAGTGGGAATAATTCTTTTTATGCGTACAATCCATTAAGTAATGTTTGATTCAGATATAAATCCCACGAGGGAAACAATAATTTTTACACATTTCTTATTTTTTTTGCTGGCAAATAATTGGGTAACTAGTAACCTGTTGAGAATTCATTGTTTGAGTATACGAAATTCACTTAGCAAAAAAAACTTTCATCTGAATACTTAAGGAATATTGAAATTGTTACAGCAAATACACAAAAAAAAATGTGTTTTGTAATAATGGAACAAATACACCGTTTCTTGGTGTGTGTTGAATCTGCGGGTCTGCAGATTGAATTAACTTGTTAATTTGCTCGGTTGATTCCGTGTACGAAATTTAAATACGTTTGGACGTGCCGTTGCGCCGAAGTTAATGCGGAAATGAATACATAAAAACGGAAGTTAAAAGTTTTTGTGTACGAGTTTTGCAATTCATATTTAATTCACCGTATGTGACACAAGTGAAACTTTGCTCTCGCCGAGTTGGCTACCTTAACATACACAATTTACCGTTTTTCCACATTTACATATTATTCACCTTTGATTATTCTCAAGTATATTATACGAATAGTTCTGTTGTTGCCTTGAATGGGAACCAAATTTATATTTACATAAACTTTTTAATTACACTTTGAGCTGCATTATATAATTAATTATATATATTTTTTAATTCAATGTATTCATATTTTTCTTTTGAAACTTTAGATATTTATTATTAGCCATACAATTTATTGATAATTATAAAATAATTATTGTTTATCGGTATTTAATTATATATTTTGTAGATTGTTATATTTCGTTCTCCTCGCATGTTGCATTTTCACTCTCAAAGTAGTTTAGTTCTAGAATCACAGTTGTAGTTAGTCCACACATCTTACATCAGCTATATATTGAGATCATAATACATCGTAAATAGAATTATTTAATTTTAAGAACATTTACGTGTTTCCATCCCAAATTTTATTGAATACATTCGAGTGTTTTTATTGTAATATTATACTTGATACAACATAAATAATAATAAAAAAACTGATGCAGGTGAAAGTTTAGTATCGATTATCTTTTAGCTTGATTATATTCAGAATATATATTAAGAATATACGTATAAGTTTTGTCTAAAAAGTTAAGCAAATTTGTGTACTTTTTAGGTTCCACAAAAGATGTCGGAAGAATTTCAAAAATACAATGCAGTGAAAAAAGAAAACTAGAATGTCCAATAAGAAGCTACAAATAGTGATAGATATGGAACGGAGAAAACAGAGGAAATCATATTTTATAAATAATTTACAATTTCCAAAGTTTTATACTATGAGAATAAAACTTTGGTTAGTACTGTTAAAGTTCATTAATTCTTAAGGTAGTTTATAAATTATATAATTAAATATACCAAATACTTTTACTCTGTTTACCTATATTTACTTAATATGAACATTGGAGATCTTTAATTTAAGTTTACTAGTTATTCTAAATTTACCTGATTCATGGCTAGTTAGTTAGTTCTTTGCGAAATAATCTTTATACAGTATAATTTAATAATGAATTTTGTAATTTATGAAAAGAAATGAAATTCAGACTAAAATGTAAATAGGATTTAAGGAACGGATATTAAATGAATTTTGATTTATTTCAATTTAGTTATTGTTAGAATTTTTGTGTTGGATTTATATTGTGAATCCCGCTTCCGAATGGTAAGAAGCAGACCTGTGCTCTCTAATCTCATACACTTTATCCAAAAGGCCGGCTTGAACCAAGTAATCCGGTGGCTGGATTTCCGGATGCTCAAGTAACCAATTACAATAGCCCAGCGTTGATCTAAATTTAATTCGAAATAGAAAATAACATCAACGCGTTTTGTTTACTCTCACCTCAGATTTTCTATTCCTTCCCATACTGTCGCCATTGTGGCTATCCTTTCTGGGACGCGCGTGTTTTGCAGCCACTTCACCGCGATGTTGTCCTTTTGTGGTGCCGATCTCATTTCAGGTGGTAACATTGTTCCGAACGCGAACATATCTTCCTGCTTTTTAACCGAACTAAAGTCTCTGTACAATTGATTGTACAGTTTCGATGTATAGGACGCCTACAAACACAAGTCATTATTTATAGAAAACAATGGAATTCATCGATATTCATAATGTAAATGTACATAATGTAGAGTCAACTCAAGTATATAATTTAATTAAAAAAAAAAAAAGAAGTTATCCTTCGTCAGTTGAAGAGAAACAGTTTTGCAGATCATTAATATACCACGAAAACACTCGATTCAGGACAAAGAACAAGCTTTATTAAATTTAATCAATATGCAATTCTGAACATTAAAGATAATGTCTTGCAAAGTATATTAAAATGATAAAGCTTTTGTCACAAGTTCTTTTGTTGAGAAAAATAAACTTCGATTTTTAGTAGATTGTCTTTTTTCTTACAAAAGCAGTCGCAAATCGAATCGGCGTAAAATGAACCCATATTTACAGTGAGGTAACTATAGGGTTTAGTTAGTTATAGTAAGTGTAAAATCAGCAATTAATAAGCCTTATTTCGCATCGGCCTTATTGTGAATCGGCGTAAATCGAACCTGTAACTATATATAAATAAATAGAACGTAACTGTTAAAAAGCGGCTATTGACCATAGATCTTTCCGACGTTATTAAAGTTCAAGATTTCTTCAAGATAATTTGTCGAGAATTATGTAACATTTGTACAATAACAACATACAGCAATAATTAATAAAATGTATTTAATATTGAAGTATCAGAAACATATTTCTAATAAATATGTTTGATATAAATGTTCTTCTTATAACAGTTTAAATCTTAGATGAAATTTAATATTGAATTTTATATTTCGTTTGCAAAAGAAGGAAATGATTGAACTAGCTTAGCTCACTGTTAGGATAGATGGCGTATCGTTACGTAGCATTGATTGCAGCAGGACGATCGCTGCAGGATGCGAAGAGCTTTTCATGAATGTTGTCCTAGTAACTGCTCGATAGATGGCAGACTCAGTATCATATTCAATATGTTAAATTCAAATATTAAAAAGTATACTGTAATGACTGATTTAACTGGTGTCTAGGAAGTATGATACTCTTAATGTAGCTCTGGATGCAGTTACTAATTTTTAAACTGGTGCACTTTTCCAGTCTTTTCCAATTTCAAATTTGTCTGAGGAGTACGTCAAATTCAAATACCGATTCCTGAATAATTTAAACAAATGTTATAAGTATTCGAATTATCCTCATAAAATCGCAATAAAGTTTATGGATAAATTATAATATGATTGTATGTTATATGTTTGAAACTTTCGGTCAGAAGGAATGTTTATTGTCAATTCCAAAATTCACTTACCTCTGGCATGTTTCTTGCATTAGCGACAGCTTTGGAGACGGCATTTAGCTCTTTAATTCGGACACAGAGAGAGTCGGCTGCATGGGCATTGAAACCGATCTCAAACAAACTGAGTATAACGGGTACGTCCAGGATAGTGGATTCATCGCCACCTAAGCCCTTCAGCCATTCCACGAACTCCGAGGCGATCTACAAAGTCTCTCAGTACAGCGTGAATGCACAAATTAAATGATGATGTACAGCCAGAGTTAACGCCTCGCACTTCTCGTTCAGATTCATCCCGTGGAAAGTGCGTGGCGGAATCGGCCTCCATCTGGCAGCAGTCGTTTCAGGGACCGTAAGGAATCGTATGTACATGTTGGATCCCAGAGCGGCGTAGCTGAAAGCAATTCGTCAGGGCTCGTCGCTTATGGATTTTGAAACGGGGATGAGGATGAGGATGAGGATGGTTAAATCGTACCTCTTGGGGCCAGTCAAAGTTTTGCGGAAATTGATTTGCGGATCGTGCTCTTTCTGAATCGCCACGTCCAGCATGACACTTCGACGCATTATTGTCTCGAGGGACGAGGATGCGTTCAACATCGACTGATCCTCCTGGTTCTTATCGCATCCCAATATATTAATTACCTTCTTCAAGATATTCTCTGGGAACACATCCTGCAGGTGTTCGATGCGACGGTGCAACGGCTGCAAATGCCACAACATTAATTAAAATAAACAGACGGACTTGTTGAAACTACTTTGAATTGTGCAAGAAAACAATTTCAGTTCGAAACTCTATCGTAAATAAATACCGCCAACGTTCTGTGGAAAATATTGTTTCAATAATTGCGTGCATTTGATAATTGGCGTAAATAAATAAATCAAACTTTGATTTAACAATAATGCATTTATACTCACAATAGCAACGTCGCTCTCTAAACATTCAAACACGTAATTCCAAAATGATTTCGAACTGTGATCCTCCACCTTCATGTTTGGTACGATTCTCGAACATTTCTTATATGTCTTTTTACTCTTCTCCATTTTTCTGCTTGATTCTACTCCTGAAAGTGGAAGAAGGACTCACTGTTTTATCAATATTAAATGTCAAATTGATTACCTAGCAACAACAGTTTGCCAACTAAAGGAAATAATATAAGTAAAAAAAACAACATTAAGATCTAAAATAATATGAAAATTTAGTATAAAGGCATAATACAACTTAAATAGCCTTAAATAAACATGATTACTAGAAGAGACTTTACAATCTAATGTTTAAGCTCAAATGCACTAGTTGACGAAAATATTGATAATTACTTTGACTATTTAGATTAATTTTAAAACCAAACGTTAATGATAACGGAAATATCTTGAAATTTTATAATTATTTAATAATTTTTATACATGGATAACTGAGATTAATTTTTACAACCAAAGATATTATGATTTTTAATTCATGTGAATTCCATTGGCTGTTCTTTGCAAATAGCTAATAACCATGGTAACATTATCTAGTTAAGGACATGTGGAATTAAGCATTAAGTTTATTTAGTAATAAAAAAATGCGTATATATATGTTAAATTTGATAATTCTTATGTTAAGAGAAGAAAATAAATATGTTAAAAGATATATGAAATTGTTTAATTTCACGTGTGGTTAGAGTGGAATAAATCAAAATGTGGGTTGCTGCTTGCATAAGATTGGGACATGTAAATGATTAAAATGAAATACGACTGTTCGAAAACATAGTTTATCACGTGCAAATAATAAGACATCGCCGCAACAGGAATTGCTAGATATACAAAAGAAATGCTCGCGGATTTGCGATGTGCCATTTAAAGTAATATTTCTTATATTTCACGCTTGTCAGGGCTAAACCAATTTTCGCGAATTTCTCCCTTCTCCCTTTTGTAGCGAGCAGCCGAGAAAAATGATGGAAAATATTTCCGAATATTTAAATGTGTTGAATATTCAGTCGCGCCCTCTCCACGAATTATTTATACTTTCAATGTACAAAAAAAAAACATGTATTTGTCAAGATATTTCTGTTATTTGTCAAAAAAAATAATAATTTTGATTTATATTCATCTTATGAAAATGTTGTTGGAATGAAAGAGATTTTCTTAACATGATTCACATGATTTCGTAATTTATAAGTATAATAAGTAGATTGAGATATTTAAATACACGAATATGGGTTTTCAATTTCACATAATGCATTTATTTTGAATATAATTAAATTTAATAATAATAATTATTGCGTTATGCAGCCGCCTGTGAAGACACGTTTCAATATAATAAATAACCAATGAATTCAAAACTTAATTAAATGAACGTATTAATAATTAATTAATTATTTACCTAATTAAACTATTGCTTATTACGAATAGTAAATTATAAATATTTCTGCTGTAATTTACACTTTTATTATACACTTTAATTTTGTAAATTAATGTACAAATTCAATTCAGTTAAAGCAGTAAAAAGAATCAGATAAATCCATTTAAATGCGTAGTTTTTAGCAGTGTTTCCCAAATTTATTTGATATATCTACATACATTGGGAATCACTGGTAAATGTTATATAATAGTTCAATTATAAACTTATTCATGAAATATTTACTGTTTTTTTTGTGTGTTTGTCTTCTATGTTTATTTAAAAATTTGATTATTATATTGTAATTTAAAATAACTAGTTTTCTAGTTAAGTTATTGCAACTTTTAAATATAAATATTTTGGTTAAGACCTTATAAATTTAATTTTTATTTGTTATTACAAATCTTTTATACATTTTATGTAAATGGATAACTGAGATTAATTTTTACTTATGACTTTTAATCCATGTGAATTCCATTGTCTGTTCTTTGCAAAGAGGTAATAACCATGGTAACATTATCTAGTTAAGGATTAGGAATGCTCGAAAGGACATGTGGTATTAAGTATAGTTTATTTAGTACTAAAAAAATGCGTATATATGTTAAATTTGATAAATTATATATGTTAAATTATAAACATTTCTGCTATAATTTACACTTTCATTATACACTTTAATATTATAAATTAATGTACAAATTCAATACATTTAAAGCAGTAAAAAGAATCAGATAAATCCATTTATATTTACAGCAAATGCGTAGTTTATAGCAGTGTTTCCCAAAGTTATTTGACATATCTACATACATTGGGAATCACTGGTAAATGTTATATAATAGTTCAATTATAAACTTATTCATGAAATATTTACTGATGTATAATATTTTTTTTGTGATTTTGTCTTCTATGTTTACTTAAAAATTTGATTATTATATTGTAATTGAAAATAACTAGTTTTCTACTTGAATTACAAGTATTTAAATAAAATCAATTCTCGGTTACTTTTTAAATGTAAATAGTTTGTTAAGACCTTATAAATTTAATTTTTATTTGTTATCACAACATATTAACAAGTTTATGTAATATTTTACTATACTACTGCGTAATATTTAGGTTGTTTTTTGGAATAGTGAAGAGTTTGCAAGAGTTTAGTACAAAATTACAATTATGAATGAAATTAAGTTATGTAAATGTAATTAGTTGGAATATTCAGAAATTATTTTAATATTCCAGTATAGAATTGTATGTAGCGTTTTACTCTGATATTATAATGTATTGATGAAATGCCTGAGGAAATATACCCAGAATATTTGCAATACGCGCAATATCAACAGATTAATGCGATGCAGGCAATAATGTAAGCGAAACAGATCAATTTCGGAAACTGAATCGTTTGTAAATGATTTATCCGTCTAGCTCTAGATAAATGGAAATAAAAGAATCTGTCGGGAGGATCGCCGGTTCGCTTAACAAAAAAAAAAAAGAAAGAATCTATTATCTAAGCCGAATAATTTATTTGGAAGCTGATATAAATAATAAAGCGGAAAATCGCAGAGAAAACGAATCCAACTAGAGTGCGGACCCAACCGTACGTACGTACGTACTACGTTCTGAACATAACAGCAATCGTCATCATCATGTATTTCCCCCGATTCGGGTCCATCCTTCCGGAACATATAGAGAGGAGGCTATTCGATCTGGCAGACTGCTGCGTGCTACAACTACTACTACTTTCTATGCTGCACATCTGAATTGTAATATTATTTATCATCGAATACCGATGGAGTAAGTCGTATCTTCGGGCTTAAAGAGAACAACGTCTGCTGTCGCGACTTTAGCCGCTGGAATTTTCAAACATATTTATTTAAAATTAAAAACGAATATACCCTCAGCCCCATCCGGATATTTGCAATATCAGGACGACCTTTTCGTAAATGAAATTCTTTCAGTCGTAAGCGCACATCGAAATAAAAATTATATATGAAATTAATCACAGCTCGGTTATCTGCGGAATGTATTAACGTTATATACAATTTTAAAATTAATTCATTTTATTTAACTTCTATACATCCATGCTATTCCATGACCATGTATAGTACGGCTTCGATGGATTTAGTATAGTACGCTTTGACGAATTCGGAACAAACTAAATAGATTAAAATAAAAAGAAATTTTAAAAAATTGTACATATTTTCGTTTATAGATAAATGATCAGTTTTTTGTTTGTTTTTATACAGTTAAGTCTCTTCTAAGATCCTCACACCAATTGAAAAGTCTGTCTGCCATATTACTTAGAAAAACTTAATATTTTTCAGGTAATATTATTTCATATTTTGTTTATCTAATATAGGACAAGAACAACAATTTTTATTAGTTGTTATGAATGTATTTAAATCACTTTTTAATTATTTGTATTTTGTTTTCATGACCAGGTAAAAAAATGGTTAATGAGTGTACATCAAAGTAGTGTCGTCCTTCGTGCAGTGAACGTATATCAGAATTACTAGTCGAGGATGAGTTCAAAAGAAGCTGATTCGAATATGGACACTTTCGTCGATAACTTTGAGATGTTAAAAACATGTTCGAACTGCCATAAATCGGCTGAAGAGAATGTTACTTATATGCCCTGCACACATAAGTTGACATGTTTCAGTTGTTCAGCGAACATCAAGAAGTGTTACAAATGCAGAGCGGACATAGAATCACGCGTGACTCCGGATGGACAAGTATTCAAGGTCACGGCCACTGGTAACGGTGGCATTGAAGCCTTCTTGCAGAGGTTCAATGACAGTTTACGATGCAATATCTGTAAGAATAGCACCGCTGATGTTGCGTTCATTTGCAGTCATAAAGCATGCTCCATGTGCTCTCCAAAACTCACCAAATGCCATGTTTGCAAACAAGATATTTTCCTTAAAATTAAAATGTTCTAATGTACTCATAATATACTCATTTATTTTGGATGCAATAAAGAAATAATTGATTTTGATCAATAGTTATTTAGATTGATCTCTTCTGCTACATTATTGTATTGAGAAAAATACAATAATAATGATTGTTTGCTCAACGTAATAAGTATATGTCACTAGTTTGTGAATGTTTTTGTAAATATGTATTTCGTTTTCATATTATAGTCATATAACTTTTAGAATTGCAGTATTTGAATTAACAGATGAACCAGTTAGTCGAATAATGTTTCTAGTTTTAATTATTTGTCGTAGCAGTGGAATTATATAGATATTTTTTTTTTGTATAAAATTTAATAAGAAACAAGATTATATTAATATCAGGGACAAACATTAGGATATGAAAGTTTTGTATTATAGCAGGAGGCAGTCCGTTTTAAATCGTTCCGGAGTGAGCACAGAGCTGTGCAGAGCTCGGTATAATCATCAAATTGTAATCAGAAGCGGCCTTAAATCACAGCGAGACTTTGAACATCTGTCGCACGAATGGGGCGCGCTTTTCAACCGGACTCGCCTAGGCTGAGGAGACAATATCCTCCAGCTTGCCTAATTCGCCAGAAGGCAGAGATTATCCTATCTAACATTAAAATACATAAGCAGAAAATATTATAAATTAAACACTTCATGACTTTCTGCCTCTCATATTTATGTTATGTTATTTCATAAAAAAATACGTTCATACGTTGATATGGCTTTAATATAATTACTTATTGTATTTATATTTAGTTTGATTTAAACGGAGATATTTTCTTAGTAAGTAAATTTTAAAACTGTTTCGATTATTATTGAATTGTGTGTTTTCCGTTTCGTGAAGACACACATCAATTATTCAAGGCGTCAAGAGTGACCTAAACAGGTGAAACTCAGAATTGGGTAATTTTCAGAAGCAATTTGGGGAACCGGAGGGGTCGCCTAATGACATCTCATTTAAATTCTATAAATTTTTATCCCTTAATCACATCTCCCGAAACCCTTAGAAACTCTCAGTTTCTACAACACTAAGGCTAAGTCATTAATATTTTGCGAAAATAAATAATTTTATGTTTAATTTTGACTGATTTTTTTGCCATTTATTTTGCCATCACATTCTGAATGGTGTTTTGTGAGGGAAATGATGTAATGTTCACAAAGCTAAACTACAAAGTAATGTCATTATTGTACATCGATTTACAGTCATCGGGCAAAATCTAATCAATCACTGAGATATTTTAATGTGAGTAGTGCAGGAAATTAAAGGATAAAAATATCGACTGACATAAAGAGGTTTCGTTGGTCGTAGGAAATGGACTTTCTGGGCGAATGTGCCAAGGAATGCTCTTATTAGAAATGCGCGTCTACCATAAAAAATGTTGTGACCCAAAACTCGCAAAATCGATCGAAACTTGACAATATTACATTCTGCATTCATTGTAGTATTTCCTCTTTGCGGATCTAATATATATATAGATCATTTATGTTACTCATTATTCCTATTACATATGATTATTTAAAATCAACAAGAAACGTACATTTATCCTTATTTGGACACGAATAGAGTGCTTTTCGCACACTTGATAAGAGTGTAATAAAAATTAGGCGATTGTTTTCAAATTCACTGCAGTTAACGAATCAAAAACGTAAGAAAAGTGATTTTCATTAAATAACAATTTGTGAACAATATAATTGATCGATCAATCAATTAACCACGATATGTATCGACGAAACGATGATAGAAAGTAAAAAAAAACCATCTTTACAATCATAATCACTGATGTTGCGTAAGCGATCGTGTTTAAACTATTTCATAAAGTATTAACACTATAATTGTATAAATAATTTAGACAGTTTATAATATTACTGACTACTACAATACATTTTTTTTAACAAAAGTGATTTTGGATGAACAAAAATCATGTCTATATATAATTTAAGTTACGTTACACAAGATACATTTCGTATATGATGCTGGAAAATGTGATTCATAGTATTTAGTTACAGAAAGGCACTGCACTCGTGCTGCATTGTAGAATTATTAGTGCTGTATTATATAATGTGTTGTCCTCGCAGTTATTTCCTTTTGTCGTGTGTGTGTGTGTACATTTTTTTTTTTCGATTATTCTTGCATATTATTATTTTTTTACACAAGACGGATTCTTTCTTTGTGTTTGTTTTTTTTTAATAGAAAAAATAACTGCAGAGTCCTTTTGATGTTTACGCCGGAGCTTTTGGCGCTCGTTAGTGGCTCCCAACTGGCCGGCTTTGTCTGCCGATGACTGTGTGCACTTTTGCCTACAATACCTAACGTGTACGGCAATCATGATTCTTGCGTGCTTTGATTCCTCTGCAAGAAACTGCACATACACATACCCTCACCCTATACAGCTCAGAGAGCGCGCACAAAATGCACGTTATATAAACACACACCCCCCATTCGCATGCTCAAAGAGGACGGATTTTAATAATAAACTTTAAATACAGGTAGACAAACTAGTACAAAGAGTATTTTTAATATCAGAAGAATTTCTGATATAAATTACGAACTTGTTGAAGGGCGGTTGGGTAGAATGCAAATTCGTCTATAAAGCCAATAATTGTATAACAACATCGAACGTCGTTTAAATATTTGTTTGATATTCGTTTTATTCTTTTCATCTATTTATTTAATATAAATCTATTGAAATTATACTATACAGAAAGATATACTACAAAACATTTTATTTCATTCAATTTCATAATAATCTATGAAATAATAGTTTTATTTTCTTAGAAGTTTTTCATGTTTTGGATATCAACAGCACATTTGTAGTCTGTCTGCTATTAGCCATATGCTTACCTTTATATTTAATAGCATCTCCAAATGACACAAACTGCAATAAAGGGCTTAGTACATTACATATTTTTTGGAAGAACAAACTTCCTAACACGGTCTTGTGATTATATGTTTTGCTGTATAATCAAAAATTGCAAAGGATAAACGTGTTACATTCAATGCTGTAATAATTACATGTTCATACAAAAATAATATTAATGAAACAAGACGTTAATTGCTGTGCGAAGGTGAGCGTTAATATTACTTAGAAATTTCAATAAAAAAAGTCTATTCTTAAGTTGTATTACAGAAATCCCCTCGGTAACCTGGAACAACCATAGTGATCTATGAAATAATAGTTTTATTTTCTTAGAGTTTTTCATGTTTTGGATATCAATAGCACATTTCTAGTCTGTCTGCTATTAGCCATATACTTACCTTTATATTTAATGGCATCTACAAATGACACAAACTGCATATAAAGGGCTTAGTACATTACATATTTTTTGGAAGAACAAACTTCCTAACACGGTCTTGTGATTATATGTTTTACTGTATAATCAAAAATTGCAAAGGATAAACGTGTTACATTCAATGCTGTAATAATTACATGTTCATACAAAAATAATATTAATGAAACAAGATGTTAACTGGTGTGCGAAGATGAGCGTTAATATTACTTAGAAATTTCAATAAAAAAAGTCTATTCTTAAGTTGTATTATAGAAATCCCCTCGGTAACCTGGAACAACCATAGTGATTTATGAAATAATAGTTTTATTTTCTTAGAGTTTTTCATGTTTTGGATATCAACAGCACATTTCTAGTCTGTCTGCTATTAGCCATATACTTACCTTTATATTTAATAGCATCTTCAAATGACACAAACAGTGTTTGCCGTATTTAGTAGAGAGGTATTGTCTCGGGGGGTTTATTTGCTATCCCCAGATATCGTGTGTAGTCATATAGTAATCCCTTCTCTAAACGTTACCAGTGTGCCTCCAGCCGATTCATGATTATTGTGACCATGTTTGTGCGTTGTCCTGTTGCTCCAGATATTATTCGTTGACAGGAGCGATGTTCGATTCCCATTTGGCTGAAGGCAGAGCTGATTTTGTCACCTGTTATGCTGATTTGTATTTGTTAATTACTGAATACGATTATTGGACACGTTTCAGTTCAATTGCTTCTTTATAAATATTTCATAATTATCTTCAACAAGTCCTTTTTATTCGATTATATTTCTGTCCTGTAAATATTAACAATAAGCTTGCATGAAAAGTGTTATATACAAAAATATGTATGTATTTATCGTAATCCTAATAATTGATGAATGTTTATTGTAATTTAGTAGTTTAAAAATACACGAATTTGTATCACATATATGCACTTCATTTAGTTTATTTAAATGTATTGTTTTCATAGCGTTGTAGTAGTCAGCATATATTGTTTGTAAACAATTTCAATTTTATAATGAATTTGGAAAAACGAAACTTACGCAAAATTGTTTTTGTATGTTGTGTATTTTTGTACACTAAATTCAATAAGAGTGTTTGGAAAAAGGTAGAGACTACCAACCAGTCAATCCGATGTCCCTTTAGAGGAAAATAAAAAAAGGAAAACGAAGCAGCATTATGGCAACCGATCCGGAAACCAATAACGGTATCCGTAAAACGGGCTGGAAGGAAAGGACGAGGCCGAGGCGGTTGTTGCCGTGTGTGCAGGAGAGAGACGAGGTTAGCTTAAGAACGACTGCGTAGCATCTGTGCAGATTCCCAATAATGTGTGCAGCGGTCGGGCGAAATTATATTAAAATACCTGCACAGTCTGCCCTCAGGTGTATTTGGCCGCGGCATGCCTGCTTTATGTTCGATGCGAAATCGATACCCATAGATAGGTCGCGACGGATGATGGACCTGCAACGCCACTAATTTCGAAAACCCTTCCACAACCACCACCCACAACACACGCACACACAACTACACACCTATCTATCTACCTACAATCACATACAGGCATGCTCAAACACGCGCACACAAATACTGAAATGAATGGATATATTGTTTTTGCTTCATGACATCTCGCCGTATAAACTCACCCGCACCAACGGGCAACGGGCATCATTTAGTATAATGGCCATTCGAACTTTTTTTTTTTTACATACGACCATATAAATCAAGCCGCGCTCACTCATTCCTCATTGTCGAGGATTGTACGTCGAAAAAATAAATGGACATTCCAT